CTAAGGTTAGGTTCAGGTTAAGGTAAGGACTAAGGTTAGGTTCAGGTTAAGGTAAGGACTAAGGTCAGGTTCAGGTTAAGGTAAGGGTAAGGTTGGTTTTCTTGCTTCCTCTTGAACCGAAGCTTTGACCACTGCAGTCCCACCCAGGGAGTCGTTGAGTTGCTTTCGTGAAGGTCGGTGACACTTGGTATTTGTAACAGTTTGTAAATCTCATTGTGTTCACACACACACACACTCATCGTCCATCACAACCCAAAGGTCACCTCCTGCTCCCGCTCTCTCCGTGAGCACATGACTGGTTTGCAGGATCTTTGAATAGCGCAGCCGGGAGAGAGTCTGGACCGTCGACAGGCTCGGCCAAACATCCGCTGAGTCACTGCGTCGTTCACAGGATCTGGACTGTGCAGCGGGCTGTGATAGATGGCGCTGTAATTCCATAGGCTTCCCTCTATAATATGATGACATGAGCGAGTGAGCAGCCTGACAACAAGATAATCGGATCAAGGCGTGATGGACAGGCTCTTTCTATGAATCTGTAATTGAGTCAGGGAGCTGGTTCAGTGGAGCGAGTGCAAATCGGAGCCACCTGAAGAAAAACAGGACAAACAAGTGAAATGCAAACGATTTGTTCATTCAGGTTCTTGACATTTGTCTTTAGCGGCTACATGCAGCGTATATATGGACGTGGAAAGTGTCTCCCATCATTTGAGATTTGAAGTTCAGACCTAAAGATGAAGTTGTTTTTAAACCGTTAAAATCCAAAAGACAACACGAGACAACTGTGAAGCCGATGAGACGAACAGTTCTTGATGTATGCGAGACACAAATACAGACAAACAGAGATTTCTTGAATTCGTTGATAAACCATTCGTTCAAACGAGTCTGAGTTTATTTTGTGTGACGCACGGCGTCCGTGTTGTTGGTGGTTACATGAACTAAACAAGTCGAGACCGCGAGTTTCAAGAAGACAAAGCAAAACTTTTCGGCTCGGCACAAACAGAGGATGATGCAAGACGATGGAAGACACACGTTTCTCTACGAACACAGAGTTTGATGGCGTTTTTTCTTTCATTGCAGTAAAGCGTCGGCTTTCATCATAAGTAAACACAACCTTTCACATGCTTAAGCATCAAACAAACAGGCCGACTGTGCCAAGGTTTCACACGAGATACTGGATCTCTCTCATTAAGTAAACTCTCTTCCAAAAGTAGAGGCTAGCAAATGTCACGGCCCTCTTCCAAGAGAAGATAATTAAAGCGGCGCAGAGGTGAAGTGGACGGAGCGTCCTGTGCGGCTGTTTGTAAACACTTCATTAACATCACTGTGATTCAGCAGCGGCTCTCAGACGGGACCTGCGGAGGCTTCGCTGGCTCCGTCTGATAATGAGCACAACACAATGAAGTTGTGATCGTCAACCTTTTCCTCCGTCACTGTGAGTGGTCGGGTAACGAGGGTCGTGATGATTAAGAGCACGTAATGTACATTAGTGGGAGAGCTTTTTCTCTTTCTTTCAGATTACAGCATCCACCAGGTCTAATTATTCCATTTGCTCTAACGTGGCTATCTGCAGACCTCTTGTCATGAGTCATGTAAGATCCGGGTCAAACTAACGACTTTGTCAGTCAGCGTCTTTGCAAAGTTTCTAGTTATTCCGAGTACACCACTTTTTAATAAAAGCTCATTCTGAGAATCTGTTTTTTATTAAAAAGCACATTATTTAAAGTGGAACAATAGTCTCAGTTATTTCTGCTCGGAAGAAAAAGAGATGTGAAGATGTACAGATGTATAAAGTTCCTCTGGTCAATAGTCTCTTTCTTCTTCCTCTCAAGGGTATGAGTCTGGTAAGAATACAGTTTGACTCATTTCAAAAATGATATTTTTGAGTCTAAAACTTTGTAGAAAAACATCTAAATTCTCTGCAGTGTCCTTGACAATAATGACCGAGTGTATTATGGATATTTACCAAAGTAAAGTAGGACACGTGGACCATCAATTTGTTCTCCGGGCTTATTTGTGTAAAGAATAATGTAGATTTTCATGAGAGCGTTGAAACAAAGCCGCAGGCTTAATTCTGGGATACATCTTTAATGCTCGTGTTTTCGGTTTGAAATGCAAAACTGGAACAACTGTAAGCAGCATGTGTGAAGTTACCGAAATCACTGTTAGAGGAAGCTGATGTGGGAAAATTGAACATATAACGTTCACGTGTAATCAAGAAACCCTGTCTCCTCCATGTTAGCAAATGAGACATGAACCAAACTAAAGAGAGAAAGTACACAGATGCTTTCTGTCAATTCAGGTAGATCCTGTCACACTGATGGAGGGTAGATGTTGATATGTTCATCTTCCTGTAAATTTGGTTTAATTTGTTATTTGATGATATGAAGAAAGACAGTGTTGATATTCTGGATTCATTTCTGAAGGAAGGAGGAAACGTCCATCTTTACTTACAGTCTATGACCAGAGTCATAGACTGTAAGTCATCAACATCTTTGTCTTTCTGTTTAGGAGACGCAGAGAGAAGCTCCAGGCTCATCTGAAGGAGAGTCGCAGTCTGAAAAACTACTCTGCAAACTCCCACAATCCCCTGGATGCCAAGATGAGGGCCCAGACCACCAACCTGCAAATGCACGAGGTAACCGCCGCTGTGTTTGTTAACTGGCGCTGTCTTAAAGATTCCCATACACCTTCCACAGATTCATTTTCAACACGAAAGCCATTAGCTGCTATTAGTACAAACATAAAACACGATTGCCAAACCAAGCAAACATCTTCAATTAAATGTCTGGCAGCAGCGCCCCCGAAGAGACGATCACAACTCAGACGTATACAGTGCACGCAGGCATTTACACCTCAGCCTGTTTGCATCTATCATTGAATTCATCAGCCCCCTGTAGTTTTAGCTGCGTACGAATCAGCGTGTCTTCCCGTCTCCACCTGGCCACTTGCATCACGCTCTCAGGTCCATGAGCGAGCGAGCGAGCGAGCAGTCGTTAAGTGGTTTGGGAGCACGGAGAGCTGGCTAGCGATGTCATTCATCATCTTTCCAGCACTTTGTCATCACGTCTCTCCCAGATTAGCATCTCAGACTGACCGGTATGAAAAACAGTGCCTTAATTTGACTGTCGCTCAAACCCACACCTGCTATCACCTGAGGAGAATCCGTGTGAGTGTGTGTGTGTGTGTGTGAACAATTATGTAGAAATTGATCAGTTCTACATCATGTGAGTTACCTATCTATTTTACACGGGTTTGACAAGAAGCTTTATTGAATAAATAGTATGTTTCCTCCAAGGGCATGATTTGAATTTCCGATGAGGCAGAGTGTTTACACGGCTCTCTATCCATCACCGACACAGTCGTATACACGAGATGGATAAACCACAGTGTGGGAGAAGCACAGCAAGTAATTGGAAATCATTGGTTTGAGATCCGATCACTCAGACAACAGAGGTGAACACGAACGCATCCTGAGACACATTGATGGACGTCCTCATTGTCGTCCGGCCGCTGTGGTTTCATCTTGTACTGAATTGCATTAATTAATTGCCGCCTGTCACAATATCAACTTGGAAGACCACATGAGGATTTTCAATTTTTTACAAATTATAAATGGGTAAAATTTTATTCCATTGTAGAGCTGCTTCAGTTCCCCTCCTCCCCCTTCCCTCCCTCTGTCAAACACTGAAAATGAACCTGTCTGTCAATGACTAAACTTACAACGGGTTTGCTCTTTGCAGTGATGTAGCTCTGTGTTGATTTGCATATAGAGCGGGGGGGGGGGGGGGGGGGGTGCGATCACAAGTGATCTCTCCAGATGCATGTGGTGTTGCATGTTGATGCCAGGTATGAACTGGGCCGTAGAGATATTTGTAATTCATGAAACATCAGTGCGAGATCCATTTTACCTGATCTGTCCCTTGTCTTTGCTCGTTAGAATTAGAACAGAGAATATTAAATATCAACATTAGAGCAAGAGGAGGATTAATCCTCCCATCTGGCTCTCAACGGTAAAGTAAGTTATATCTTCCAAAAGGTCAAACTATGCTTTTACAAAGACAGTCACCAGATGAGAGAATCCAACCTTAAGACTATTATTCACAATAACACGCAAAATATGAAATATATCTACCACAAAGAGAGTATACATATTTAATTTTACTCTCTTTATTTTCATTAAAATGCAACTAAGAATTCAAAAACAGGACGAATGGGTGATGACGACAGGAAGTGCGTACGTCAGGCGGAACACGAGAGACTATAGGTTCAGACTCTCAGCTGAGAAAACCTCCTCGCTCCTTTTACTGTAAATAACCAAACTACGTTTCTGTTTCCAGGAAGCTTTCATGAAATGATTAGGAGCAAGCCGAGCTGCGGAATAAAGCATTAAAGCAACTCGAGCCAGAATCAACAGGTCACAGAAGTGAAGACGTGTGAATGGAGCCGCTCTCCACAGGCTCTGTCAACTTTAATATATAGGCTAACAGACTTTAAAGCAGAAGGACATTACTGCCTGAGGATCCGTGCTGGAGTTTTAGTTCACATGGGGTTCAGATATTTAAGATATAGCTCGTAGACACGGCCAACCAAGGTTTGAAAGTAATCTGTAACATCTGAAGTCGGTGAAGACGACATGTCAGGTGTGCCTCCTCGTATTATCCTCAAGCCGAGTGCTCCGACAAACAAACCGGCTTCCCAAACCCACGTGGAGATCAAGGGGAAGGCAGCAATCCAGCCTTCTACATGGATTTAGATCTCATAGAGCGTAAAATTGGAAATACCTTTATCAAAGTGAGGCACCTGTTGAAGACTTGGTTTAATTACACGGCGAAGAATGTGATGAGAACCAAGCATTCAGTCAAATCTGAGGTGAACAAGAACAATGTGTTGAAGTTCAGTGTTCACCTGAATATCACAGTTTCTGAGACGTGACGTAAACGATAGCATCAAATCTCTGTCCAGCCCTCCATCGTGGTCCGTGAGTGAGGGGACGATGCAGCAGGAGATGGACGGTGGGTCGGTGCGGCGCTGGCAGTAATGCCGGCGTTGTACTGGACCATCGTGGTGAAGACGGAGCTGAGCAAAGCTTTCGATTTACCAGGAGCTCCAACCCTCACGTGTGGTCACAGGTGGTGACCGAAAGAGAAATGGCGACAGGGTGAGGAGTTCGGATATCTGGAGGGAGCTCGGTGCTCCGTCATGTTGAAGCAGAAGACGATGGATGATGCACTTTGACTTTTTAGTTTGGTCCATGTTCCATCCGCTAACATGGAGGAGGTCAGGTTAATGATCTAAACGTGGCTGCAGATGTTCGAGGAGCCGTCGTCACCTCCTGAGTTCTGCCTCTTAATTCCATTATCCTGCTTTTTAGTTAGTGTCTCTTCTCTTAATTGATGATTTTTACCTCAGACGTTCAACTTGAAACCTTGATTCAAATGTTCGGCTCTTTTAGGACATTGGTGCTTTTTACCTTCCTCTTTTATCTCCTTCATATTTTTTTATCTCACAATGAAAAGTGAGGAATGTTTGAACCGGCTGCTCCTTGAACTCCTGTCCCTCTTTCATCCAGGACCTTCATTTAAATTTGAAACGGGTCGCTGCATTTTATTAGTTCATCTTTCTGATATCTTTTTTTATTCTTTATGAGGAATCACAGCGAAGCCTTTTTTTTATGTGGGGGGTTTCAGGGCTTTTGAAACTTTATAATGGATTTGAATTTGTCCCGCAGGGGAAACAAAATGTTAATTCTTTTAAAATCTAGTTAATATAGTTTATTCTTCAAGCTCTGAATGAATGAATCTGGTTCATCTGGACATCACAGTGACCCCGGGGATAAACATCCCGAGGGATCCGATCCCAGGCATGAACACCACCGATTCTCACTGAGGATGCAGGTCAGATCCCACCGCTCAGAGAAGTGATTTAGGTGTCGAAGCTATTTAGAGCAAAAGATAGAATTAATACGTAAAAGATTAAATATATAAATATGGTAGAAACACGCCACTGCACACAACTGAATGAGATTACACATATTTACTAAATAGATGAATACGATGTGAACAGTTGTTACAGGTATTGGATGAAAGTGCATAAGAGATGTGTGTGTTAACTGTGTTAACTGTGTTAACTGTGTTAACTGTGTTAACTGTGTTAACTGTGTTAACTGTGTTAACTGTGTTAACTGTGTAACGTGACGGACCACCTACTCAGCTGACTCATCCAGTTTCATAATGAAGTACTTTTAGAAGTGGTACTTTTTCCCACTCACCGGTCACAAGATTAACACCGATCGTAACATATTGATTTTATTTTTGTAATGAGTAAAATCTTATTTCATTGTAAAGCTCAAGTATTGATTCCCTCAGTTACACACTCACACACACACACACACACACACACA